ACTGAATAAACAACACAGCTTAACACGCGCTTAAAGAGAAACATGTTGCCAACTCTTACCCTTTCTTACTGTTCTCCAAATCTAAGGGCGTATTCCCATAGATTTTAGATCGATCTATCCCAGTGGGGAGTCTCACTAGATTACTGTCAGATAATCCGGCTTAAGTGTCTGCCCCGCCTACTACAAGCTGTAAGGGGGTAATTCACTTTGGCTGACCGCTTGGCTGATAGCTATTTAGCGTGAACCCCCAGGGAATTAGGTCGATCTAGTTTGGATTGATCTAATCTCTGGGAATGGGGTCTAAGAGTGCATACAGAACAGCAGACTAACAGATCATCTACAGATCAAATATGGCGACCCATCTAAAAACTTTCCACTTATTTCTCTATTAGACACTGAATAGATTCTCTGCGGGTATTAAGCAACAAGCATTCAAGTGGGTCAGCCATATTTAATCCCAAGATCCATTACTGTACCCCGCAGGGACGATGTGTGGGGAGGCGTGTGAGAGGCGGAGAGACTATTAAAAGATTAGGCGGTTTTTCTTTCATGTACGTCCGCCATTTTTAGTTCTCAGGATTTGTAAAGCCTGGCTCAATTCGTTGAGAATGCGGCCTTAGTCTGCTGTTCTGAACGTGCTATAATGGAACACTTTACTGCATCCCAACAAGACGATGGGGTCAGGACAATGCAGATCTTTATTTTTCAGAACAATCAAGGATACAGATACACAGTTAAAAAGAACGAATAAACAATGCAATGGTTTTAAAAACAAACACAAAAATATAATCAAAACTGAAGTGTTTAAAAAAAAAAAACAAAGGATTGGAAAATGTGACCATGAACCAAACTTGGCAATTGGTAAGGCGAGTGTGACGCAAAATGAGAAAATGAAAGAAAAAAGTCAAGGAGGATTTCAAAAAATCTCAAAAGGCTAATCATTTTGTAAGTGCTAAAAGAAAATGGCTTCTTCCTTCATGCTCATGACTAACACTTCTCCTCATTTTTACACATTTCACAACCAGCAGTTAAACTCATTTCAGGAAACTTTCAATAATTTCAGAACCAGAGCAGTATTTAGAAACCTTTTAAAAACTTAGCACACTTCGACCGTTTACACAATAAATCACAGTCCTAAGCCCCCTTACACCTGGGATGCTACGAAGACGCTGATTCAATTTTGCAGGCTATTATTGCACGGTTCTGAGAAGTAAGTCATATTTCACAGAGAAGAAGCAAGAACAGTCGCACTTCCAACTTGTGGTTAAAAGAGTTTTTAAAAATCTGAATTATTGCTTTCTCACAAAAATGGACCCAACTTGCTCCATCTATGGTGTTGTAAGTGTAAATGCAGCACAGCACTTGTTAAAATAACACATGGCTAGGAAACAAGATCAGTCCTTACATGATTTTACCAGAACAGTAGGAACAGTTACTCTTTGCACACCATACCCCTATTTCTGTGAGATCAAATGAAAAACTTTCTCACCCTCTCTATAAAACATTTTAGGCAGATGTCATATTCATGACTTTAGATCACAGTAGTGTATAGTTCACCCTGATTTCAAAACCAGATATGTAAACTACACATATATAAATATCCGATCTTTCAAATCCAGGTACTTTCCTGGTTTAGATCTGGTTTACAGAAAAACTGAACTTGAACCAATAAGTAAAATCTGCCTTCTGAAGCTCTTATGCTTCTGCTTCGCCAATACCAACCTGATATGCTTTAGAAAAAAAAACAAAAACAACAAGATATCAAACCTTATTTCAGAAATATTTCTAATAGTATGTAACAATGTTTAGTGTCACTAATCACTAATGTACAGTTCTTCTTTTCGATCTTTACATACAGCATTACAATACTTTCAACTTCTGGAGTAAAAAACAAACTAATTGCTCATTACACTACTCAAAAAATGTTCTACTTCTTATATAGTCCTCTGTTGTTGTTGGCATTTTTTTTCTTCTTTTTTAATCACTAAAATGGCAAAACATGTCTGTTCTCATTGAGGCCTATTCCCAAACAAACCCTGCCTCCGTATCTGTCACTGGATATTTCTCCTTTAGGAACCAGCAATCAATGCAAACAAACTGCCTTGAACAATGTTAATTTTAGAACCCAGTTGTCACTTTCAATCCCTTCCAAATCCTAAGTAACAAGCAGCGAAAATAAGTAGTATTCACAGAAAACCTGCCATTTTCCCTAGAGGTGAATTTGCCATGATAAAAAAGGTTAACGAAGGGATCTTATCACAGACCACTTGGTGGCTAGAAGACTAAACCTGACAGCACTGGCTGCCAAAGTTTCCATACATCTCGCTGGAGTATCATAATTACCAATTTCACTGGCAACGGGTGAGCACCTAACTTGCCATAGTTAATGATATTGCTAATTTGAAAATGTTACAGCTGTTTTGTTTTTGATGTTTTTTCCCAATCTTTTTTTTTGTACGCTGCAGTCTGACATGCATGTTGCTCTTAATAGTTGTCCCGAAATGAAAATGTGAAAACAAGCTGTTCATTAGCGACCCATTATAACTGTAAAGACTTGTATACATTCACTTCTGAGGGAAGATCAAAAATTTTATGTTTCATAAATCGAAAAAAAATTAAAATAAATAAGTCATTAAGTCATAGGAAAATTAGAATGATATTTCTGAAAAAAAAGACAAACATAAGTTTTAAAAAACAAATTTGAGAGAAAGACCAAATCCTTTTTTTTTTTTTTTTTTGCTTCAGAAAACACTGCCAACTTTTACAGAAATAAAATTTTGGCAAGAAATGGTTCGAGACTTTTTTCTTTCCAACACCAGTGCTTCTTCTTTCCTCAATTCTCTTAGATAACTAAACAACCATTCCCACATGTCCCCCTGGTGCCCTGTACATATATGATATTTGCTGAGGTGCATAAATGTTTTTGCAGCAATTAGATAGGGTATATTAGATTAGAACTAACTGACGGATGGTGGAAAAAGATTAGGAGAAAAAAAATTACCCTGCCAAGTAGAAAAGAATAGAGCATCCTACCAGAAATTTTCTTAAGACTTTTCTTGTTTTCCATATTTGATTTTTTTTTTCATTTTCATTATATTCCTTATGTAACATCAGATATCTTTCATTTACTTTCTGTCTTTGTAAATATGAAACATTTTCAGTCATGAACAAGGTAAATGCTTAGGTTCCAAGTTGCATAATCCAATTTCACGTCTCTCAACTTTTATCCCACCGTCCTCCAGAAATACTAGCGCTAATAGATCAAATTCAAAAGGTGTTTAACTGTTATTTTAGCGCAGTTGTTTTCCAACACCTTGATAATTCCTCTCACAACCTACCTAAGCCTCTTCTGGAAGTTTATAATACCTTAAAGAACTGAAAGCGGAGACGACACGAGCCAATAAAACCAATGGGTTTAGACATTCAGCTGACTAATTTTATTGATAACGTCTTGAACTGGGTTTGAAAAATGATCTGGTTAAAATGGGAGTTAGAACGTCAATTGGTTATACAGGTGAAGTTTGGGTTGTTCTTCAGTTATAAATAAAACACTGAAATAATTATTTAGCTGAAAGAAAAAATTGTCAAATTGTTTGCCAATACCTTAATTTTTTTTTACACTAAATAATAACTCTGAAAGTTAGCAAAGCTTATAAAATTTTCTGTATTGGTTTTTCAACTAAATAAATATTAATTTTTGAAAACGTTCTGAAATTGCTTGGGTTTTGTTTCACCAATTATAATGTAAAAATGACCATTAAATATTGGGGCAATGAAAAATATACAGGTGCTATGTCATTATATTCTTTTATCATTAAAAAATGGTCCAAAGTGAAAATTTTCTTATTTTTATTCTAAACAATTCAAGCTCGCTCCATCCAATCAGCAGAATCAGTTTATTAGCAAACTCATTCTTACGTTTATATAATAGCTAAGCATTTTACTATTTTTAAATGACACTGTGACGTGTTTTAGTTTAAATCAGATTTGTGAAAGAGCAAATTCCCTTGTTATTTCTCCTGGCTGAAGATAACTAAGGTTAGACAACTAACACTGTAACCCGCTGCTAGCTCCTCACACATGACACCGGGAAGATCGACCAAAAACAACGAGAAGTCAAAATAATGAGGTTACCGTAAACTAAAAAAATAGCACACTGAATTGACAACATGGCTTCCCCCTCGTGTTGTCCGTAAACGCTCATGACAAGTTAATTATATGCAAGAAACCTGCCGATCCTCTTACCAGTATTGTTGTATCTGTTGGCAAACTAGATCTTTTACACTGGCTCATAGTCAACAGAATGATAATTTGAGATTTTGAAATAATCAACATGCGAGTGCTTGTTCGTATCAATCGCATATCAGTATAACTACTGGGGTAGCGCTAACACTCGCCAATTTAGCCAAATGCTAAATCTGACATAAGTCGGCTAAACAAAAAATGGTTGATTTGACTTGTTTTAGTCAAATTTAAACTGTTTGGAGTAATAAGTGATGAAAAAGTAGTGATTTGGCTGAGAGAAAAAAATTGCCAGCGCTACCCCAGGACTTATTATACTAATTTCATGACACTGACAAAAATATGAACGAACAACTTACAACTTAATTTATCATTTTTCAAATATATTATTTCATCAAGGCGATGCTACGTTAAATTGTCTGTTTTGGTCAAAAACTGAAAACTTTTGGAAATCAAATTCAAGCTATACCCATTCTTACTTTTTTCCATTTATAAAAACCAGAAAAACAATGTTATTCCTTCTGTTATTTTGTCCACTACATCACTACATCCTTAGATTTGATTGTGAGTTCTCCATGCAACATTTGAAGTCATGAATAACTTGATTTCTTCCCTTATTTATCTACTGATAAAAGAATATTAGAATAAACATATGTAGTTAATAAACTTACTTGAAAATTAAATCAAAAACAACATGCACTGTATTCAACATTTCTTAGGCATTGGTAAATTATCGTAAGCTGTGAAGATATATTTACCTTTAAACTCACACACTTCTCTTCACTGTTCAGTCTAGAGAGGCGGGTCTTCTTCTAGGTAGTCTGAACAAACTTCTTCAAGCAGCAGTCTGAAACAGAAGTGATTTGTCACAGCTCTCTGCCTGATAATAAACAAAACTTGGAGGAAGCTGTTGACTCCCAAATGGTGCTGACACCTGTTGGCAATAAAACAAACCAATGGTGCAAAGTTGGCTTTGTAGGACCAATTAGCTGGCTGGAGTAAATCTTCAACTGAGGAAAATTTAACCTACAGACTATGACTGATATCAGTAGAGTATGTTACCAGAATCGAGTCAATGAGCAATTTCTGTTCTCATCCTTCATTTTTTTATTTTCTAAATTAAATGATATTCATTGACCTATTTTTTAATTTGTTAATTTTATTATTCATCAGCCAATTCATATTATTCATTGATTTAATTACTGATCTATTTATTCATTCAGTTATTTATTTATTTACTGACTTTTTGACTTACTTGGGATGCATTTTCTCAGTATGATCAATGTTCTTATTTTGCACCACTGATATATTATAAAACAGAAGTAATTCCTTCCTTCCTTTGTAAATTTCTAAAATGCCACATCATCTTCCTTTCATGTTTTTTTAGTATTCATATGTTTCTAATGACTTACTAAGTTAAGTCTAATATCCCAAGTCTGAATGTAACACAGCTTAAAAATTGAAACAAATGGCAAATGGGAAGACAAATGGCAAGCCCTCTCCTATTGAAATACCTCCCCAAAACAGTCGGGACAAAAAAATAGCAGGGGAAAAAAGTTAATCTTCTTTGAACCACATGATTTAGTACCCTCATATCCATAACTACATGGCTAAATGTCTTGTACTTTGCATACTCTACAAACCTCTGTGGGCATAAATCACGGCCTGTGCTGCTCTCTGAGCAATCTTCTATGGCAGCGTTCACACGTGCATCACTCGGTCCATTCCTTAGAACCATAGGCCATATTCAGAACAGTGTACTAACTAGGCTGTGGGTCAAATATGGCAACCAACTAAAAAGCTTGTTGTCCAAAGTCGGTCGGCCATATTTGACCCTCAGACTTGTTAGTCAACTGTTCTGAATGTGGCCATACTGTGATCACAGCTCACACCAGCAAAACACTGCCGGTGTGACAGGACTGGTTGTCCTAGGAATGGAAGTCTGGGGTCCTAATTATGATTAGTACAGGTAAGGGTTCATCAGAGTATTGGGATTTGTATGTGGGAGGAGTGTTACCTGTACAAAGTAATGGGAAACAGACTATGATTCCTAGTGGATTGCCATTCCTGTCACATTGGCTGAATATGCAGCAGAGAAACTCACTGGACTGATGCTGTGCAGAGATGAGTTGATTACAATCAATATAATACTACAATCACACTTACACCAGACTGTTCCAACTTGAGACTTAAAATACATAATAGTAAATGCGGAGGTAATAACCAGCTTCTATCTGTAGACAGATACAACATGCAACTGAAATGAGTGCGGAACAAGAGGAGCTCAACAAAAATCTGACAAAATGCTGTTTCAAAGACCGGTTTAGATTCATCAGATTGTGAACAGACCCTCTTAAGCCACAGCAGTGTTGAAGTAGGCAGATGATTTAGAGAACAAATGGCGGTCCACCTCCTGCTTGTCACTGGATGAAGGGCACCATTTCAGGAGACCATTTTGCCAAAAAAAAATATATGACGGAATGATGGTCTTTACTTAAACCATGTCTGAATCTTTTTTGTTGTTTTTCTGCACTCACTCCAAGGTGGGGCGTTGTCACCGTTCACTTTCAGTAATTCATTTCTGCGACAACTGTTTCGCACTGTACATAACATCCCCTTGGTAATGATAGAATTGTTTTTCTTTTGAGACTTCAAAAGAGATTGTTTTAAAAGTTAATGGACATTAGCGAATGTTCGACAGCACATTACACGACTGCCATGAACTGTGACATTTTCCACACCTAATTGTCTCTTCCGGTGCTTAGGCTGTGGATTAAAGGGCCTTAAATAATACTCCAATAACCACCGAGTTATACCACAGCATTGTGTTTTATTAACTTAGTTGTGACGCTATTCCTGTTCAATATTTTAAATGGTTAATTTTCTGAAAGTTCTCAGATTATGGTCTTCAGGGACTCTGCAATTTTTTTTTTTTTTTTTTTTTTTTTTTTTTTTTTGACATGTAGCAAGAAATTCCACAATATAAGAATAACAGCTGAGAATTAAAAGTGTAACCCACAGACATCACCTATTTTCGGCAAAATGGCGTACGTAAATAACGTCCCTTCCAACAATAGAGAAAAGCATACTCTTAACAACAAAAGAATTCCAAAACTTCTCTAATTGTTTATGTCATTTTTAATATTTATATATATCTAGTAGAGAAAGTCCCATCCTTTTAACTCTTGAAGTCTTGGATTTGCCAATATTTCAATTTGAAACATTTCCCCTTTTCCTTCCATATTGTACCAATACAACACAAGTGGAACGTTTCAGTTTCTTTCTTAACATCTGCTACCAGTAATTACACAAAATGACAAATCTGCTGAGTTTCTACATCAGCCATTGCAATATTGTATTTTTCAGTTGTTGGAAAGATGCATTTTTTACCAAAAAAAAAATTAGACAAAAAAAGAATGAAAAAGGACCCCTTCTGAGAAATTGACATGCTCTCGCTGCCTGTAAGGTCAGAGTCAAGCAACCTACACATTTTACATGCATTTTTCACCACAACTTTCATGTTCAACTCAACCTCTGGATGTGTGGTCTAGGTGACGAGTTACCACTAATTAATCAGTGCAAATAATGAGATTTACACCCTACCATAAAGGATAATTTGTCCCATTGTACATAACCGGCAGAACATTAGCCAGCAGCTGAGAAAACACTGCTCACTTAGTCAACAGGTTACCTCCAGACACTTTTTAGGGCTTCAAGTTAATTTCTTCAAGTAGACACCATTTCTCAAGAATGTTCTATGTGTCAGCACAACTAAACACAATAGAACAACAAAATATGTGCAAACCATCTCATTTTAAATACTTGGGACACAGTGCTTCTTGAATTACATTGCTCACCGATGCCACCTATTGATTAAACAACAAACTATTCACTATACCACACATTTCAGTGCTGACCAAAATTATGCCTCCCTCCCCCCCCACTCCATTGTCCATACCCAAAAGGTCAACCACATAATGTCCATAAGACACTGGACAATTTATGGTCCCTGGTAGCTGGAGGGTAGGGAGGCCTGAGCTGACCCTACAAGTGGCCCCACAACTGACCCTCTTCATGTGAAGACCACAGGAAAAGGAAACCCGATGGTATCAGGACGATATTTCCGCATCACTGGGTCAATATTTCTGCACCACTATCTATACACAAGACTCCAGTGACAATGGCATGGTGAAAAAATACTTTAACTACAATTCTACAGAGATCAGTTTTGCAGATGAGCTGGACCTCTTAAAGCCAGAGACCACAAATGGTACAATGCTTCTATATTTTTCACTCATCCCTACTTGAGTAAACATCACTTGATTTTCTTCATGGAATAATAAACAGTGACTTCAAGATATTTTTATTCATTGTAAGATTTGGAAGATTTGATATCATCTGGCAGTGAGTCTAAATGCATCATCTGGATAAGAAAATGTGGTTTTTCTCTTTTGAATGGAGGATAAAGAAGAGACAGATATACATGTATTTGAAATAAAAGCAATGTGTTCTTCAGATAAATCTAAATAACACGTCTTTTTTTCTAACAATATACGCTAACTAATAATATGTTAACACTTTTTAAAGTATTTCTTTGTAAAGTCTAGTGAACATCTTAAATGGATTTTAGACTTGATCATGAGAATAATTATATATAATAGATATTTTTATCGCCATAATCTCTCAAGTGAGCAGTATCCACTTTGTCCTGTCCAATTTCCCTGTCCATAATATCCAAATTCTATGTCTTGATTTTTGTAGTTTAAGCCATACTTTGGGCGAAAACTAAAAAGACACACCTGCCTCAATACCCCCTCTGCAACCCCCTCCCCTCCCCCCCCTACCCCCCCCCCCAACTGACTCTGAAACATGGTAGAACAAAGAAGGTTTTGGAAGAAAATCTCACCTCCACCAGACAGAGTAAGCCGCCAGAACCCCCCTCCCCAGTTTACTCCCCTTTCAATTTCCCCCCCAATATCCCTGAATGGCACCAAGATTATTTTTCCAACCTCTGCCCCACTGCCAACCGTGTGCACAATACCGTAGCACCAAGGGTATTTGTGACTCCTTGTGTAACGCCACTAATTTCACCCCAAGGGGATGTACATTGCCAGTCGACCATGGAGGAAGAAAAAGGCACCTCCATGCCTCACCCAGTGATGCTGTCAAGAAAACAAAATTTGTCCCCCGACGTGCTTTCACCTTGTTCTTTATACTCTGAGCGAAAACCACAAATATTCTTCCTGTGATGTAGAGCTAAAGTGAATTGAAAATCATGAAAGGTGTTTTATAAATTTTCAAATTTTTAGCCTGCAGCAGTGAAGCTGGTGCTGGAACCTTGCTACAATGGCGTGTCCTAAATAGAGGTAGCGTTAACACAAGAAAACAGGCCTCCCCTTGCCACAGGTGAGAAATCCTATTTTTACCCTTTTGTTTTAAATCAAACACTCACACCTGGACTTTGTTGAGAACTTCAGAAACATGCATCTTTGAATTTCTTAGCCCAGGGCGATGAAGGTTCTCCTGTACAAAGTATATACAATTTCAAAGGTTCCGTTTTCCTTTTTTCTAATAATAGTCCATGATTTATAATTAGAAAGTCTCTCTTTCTGCACAAAAAATATATTACAGAAACCCCAAATCAATTTTGACACACAAACAAAATATTCTGAAATGGAAAGATAAACCAAATTCTACATAACCCACTTATGTTCCACATGAAATACTCCTGCAAAGACCTTGAAAGAAAATGAAAATCACCACCGAATAAACTAATGACATCCAACGTCAGAACTTGAAATTCAACTTAAATTTAAAAATAAAACAAAAAGAAAATTTCATAACTCACCACAGACCAAGAACCAAGCAGACACCATTGTACCACATCCAAAAGAATACTACTGCTATGTTCATTGAAGTGTGCTCCGTTTTGCAAACCAAAAATACCCTAGGGGCAGGCAGTAGCCCAAGGCTAAACCCCTTGAGCAGTTCAACCATGTCTTCTAATCGCGTTTTAGGCACGTATGAAATGCGCTATGTTAGGTGGTGTATTTCCTCACGGGTCAACCCACTTCCTCCCTCAGGCGTTACTCTACTATGTGAATGGACCAAACGGTGGGTTTAAAAAAAGAATTTGTTTACCTTCCCTTTGCAGCTCTCCACAAAAGAGTGTATAGGTTTAGTACCTTGAGTCACACGTCTTCAGGAGAAGCAGAATGGCTGCCTGCCCCTGCGACCTCAGCCATTCTCCGCCTCATCATGGCTCGTGGAGACCGGCTGCCAATCCTCGTCAAATTGCACAGAAAATGCTGCTTTCTTTTCACGCGAATTATTACCACTGTGACACCTGTAAGCTTCTGTTTGTTTATTTGGTCTATAAACCACACTTCTAAAGGTGTCTAGCAATGTTGGCGCTTTCAGGTTATGACATCGCAATTATGTCAACGTTCCCCCTGACCCCTCCCCTTCTTCCACCTGACCCTGCCTCTCATACATGCCTTATTTACTTTGTATTCCATCTCCTTGCATTGGTCAAATTGTTAATTCTGTTACAAATAAATACAATGTATTAAGAAATTGGATGTTGACTATTATTCCCTCCATTTCTGCACCATTTCATCGAGCTGCAAAGGCACGGCTTTGTGACGGGCAAATAAAAACGCAACAAGGTTTTCTTCTCTCGTCAGGCAAGAAAAGTTAGACGCTGTGTCCACAGAGAAGGCAAACAATAACACTCCCCACGGACACATTGTGAAATGATGAGTTTTAAAAAAAGAAACTCACTGTGTTGGAAATAAAATCGGTGTACCTGATTCTATGTTTGGACCATTAATGCTTTGTGAATGAATTATATTCATGGCAAATTACATTCAAGACTTTCTTAAAAATATATGGGAAAAGTATTTTTTTGTTATGAACATTTTCAAGAGGATTATAAAAAGCACTAATAAGAATGATTTGATTGAGTATACATTACACTTTAGCTCAATATTTAATATCGCTGTTAAACAAGTTATGTTATGCCTGCCTATATGAAACACTTAAAGCAATAATAACTCTTCGTTTCGGCCAAAAAATGAATTTTCCTGAAGTAAACAACAATTTTCCCATACTTACCAATGGTTAATGAATCCATTTTTACATTCAAAGTTAGTCNCACCAGACAGAGGAAGCCGCCAGAACCCCCCTCCCCAGTTTACTCCCCTTTCAATTTCCCCCCCAATATCCCTGAATGGCACCAAGATTATTTTTCCGACCTCTGCCCCACTGCCAACCATGTGCACAATACCGTAGCACCAAGGGTATTTGTGACTCCTTGTGTAACGCCACTAATTTCACCCCAAGGGGATGTACATTGCCAGTCGACCATGGAGGAAGAAAAAGGCACCTCCATGCTTCACCCAGTGATGCTGTCAAGAAAACAAAATTTGTCCCCCGACGCGCTTTCCACCTTGTTCTTTTTACTCTGAGCGAAAACCACAAATATTCTTCCTGTGATGTAGAGCTAAAGTAAATTGAAAATCATGAAAGGTGTTTTATAAATTTTCAAATTTTTAGCCTGCAGCAGTGAAGCTGGTGCTGGAACCTTGCTACAATGGCGTGTCCTAAATAGAGGTAGCGTTAACACAAGAAAACAGGCCTCCCCTTGCCACAGGTGAGAAATCCTATTTTTACCCTTTTGTTTTAAATCAAACACTCACACCTGGACTTTGTTGAGAACTTCAGAAACATGCATCTTTGAATTTCTAAGCCCAGGGCGATGAAGGTTCTCCTGTACAAAGTATATACAATTTCAAAGGTTCCGTTTTCCTATTTTCTAATAATAGTCCATGATTTATAATTAGAAAGTCTCTCTTTCTGCATGGCCCCACAAAAAATATATTACAGAGACCCCAAATCAATTTTGCCACACAAACAAAATATTCTGAAATGGAAAGATAAATCAAATTCCTCATAGCCCACTTATGTTCCACATGAAATGCTCCTGCACAGGTCTTGAAAGAAAATGAAAATCACCACTGAATAATCTAATGATATCCAACCTCAGAACTTGAAATTCAACTTAAATTTGAAAATAAAAAAAAGAAAATTTCATAACTCACCACAGACCAAGAACCAAGCAGACACCATTGTACCACATCCAAAAGAATACTACTGCTATGTTCATTGAAGTGTGCTCCGTTTTGCAAACCAAAAATACCCTAGGGGCAGGCAGTAGCCCGAGGCTAAACCCCTTGAGCAGTTCAACCATGTCTTCTAATCGCGTTTTAGGCACGTATGAAATGCGCTATGTTAGGTGGTGTATTTCCTCACGGGTCAACCCACTTCCTCCCTCAGGCGTTACTCTACTATGTGAATGGACCAAACGGTGGGTTTAAAAAAAGAATTTGTTTACCTTCCCTTTGCAGATCTCCACAAAAGAGTGTATAGGTTTAGTGCCTTGAGTCACACGTCTTCAGGAGAAGCAGAATGGCTGCCTGCCCCTGCGACCTCAGCCATTCTCCGCCTCATCATGGCTCGTGGAGACCGGCTGCCAATCCTCGTCAAATTGCACAGAAAATGCTGCTTTCTTTTCACGCAAATTATTACCACTGTGACACCTGTAAGCTTCTGTTTGTTTATTTGGTCTATAAACCACACTTCTAAAGGCGTCTAGCAATGTTGGCGCTTTCAGGTTATGACATCGCAATTATGTCAACGTTCCCCCTGACCCCTCCTCTTCTTCCACCTGACCCTGCCTCTCATACATGCCTTATTTACTTTGTATTCCATCTCCTTGCATTGGTCAAATTGTTAATTCTGTTACAAATAAATACAATGTATTAAGAAATTGGATGTTGACTATTATTCCCTCCATTTCTGCGCCATTTCATCGAGCTGCAAAGGCATGGCTTTGTGACGGGCAAATAAAAACGCAACAAGGTTTTCTTCTCTCGTCAGGCAAGAAAAGTTAGACGCTGTGTCCACAGAGAAGGCAAACAATAACACTCCCCACGGACACATTGTGAAATGATGAGTGTAAAAAAAAGAAACTCACTGTGTTGGAAATAAAATCGGTGTACCTGATTCTATGTTTGGACCATTAATCCTTTGTGAATAAATTATGTTCACGGCAAATTACATTCAAGACTTTCTTAAAAATATATGGGAAAAGTATTTTTTGTTATGAACATTTTCAAGAGGATTATAAAAAGCACTAATAAGAATGATTTGATTGAGTATACATTACACTTTGGCTCAATATTTAATATCGCTGTTAAACAAGTTATGTTATGCCTGCCTATATGAAACACTTAAAGCATTGTTTATTTAGCTAAAAAATGTCTACATGATCTACTTTCAGCCCATTCAAATTAATGCTAACTAGCATATTTACACCTCACAGAAAGCTAGTATAGTTCATTCAAAAAGCCAGCCTATCCATTTCAATTCCAAGTCAATAGACACAATTTTAAGAAAAGCAATTGAAATAAATTGAACAGTATTGGTAAATATTGTTTAAATAAGAGTAGTATTGCTACATTATAATATGAAAGATAAAATTTTCTTTGGACAAAAAATGTTAGCTTTTGGTTTACCTGTTAGGAAACTTGTATAAGAAGAGAATCTGATTTGAGGACGGGTAAAAATAAAAATTGCTAACAACAGACTATTTGTTAAGTAGAGACGAAAGCGGACAATTAAAAAAATTAAAATGTTTGCACTGAAGGCATGCAGGTCCGTATGTGTGTGGAGGGGGGGGGGGGGGGGGGAAAAAAAAACAAAACCCCTTTCCC